GGACGGCGGGAACAGCTGCGTGGGCGCAGGCCGGGAGTGGAGCGGGGGCAGCCCGCAGGGACCTTTCCCTGAGGAAGGTGTTACCACCTCGGCCAGGGGGACGGCTGGAGACCCCCGGTCCTGTGCAGTGCCCGGCAGCTGCCGGCATGGCGCGGTCCGGCACGGAGGTGGCACTGATGGGTGTCTTGGAGAGATTAGCTCTGGGAGAGGTCTGCCTTTGGCCTTAGACAGCAATTGCTGCAAGAGGAACAGAGCACAGTGTTAAGGCGTTACAAAAATGATAGTACAGATCTTATTCCTGATGTAAATGAGCGATTTCGTTCCTGATCTAGAGCCTTCTCGCACACCAGATTCATTTTTTTAAAAAAGTAGGTTTTCTTCCGTCCCATTTTTCTTGTCTTTTATTCTAGTAATGCGCTCCCCCGCTCTGGCCATGCCATCTTCCTGTGAGCTGTGCTCCTGCCGCCTCCTTTCCGTTCCTGACGCATTACCACCCAGTCCTGGACGTTTCCGCGCTAACGGAGCCTTCCCTGCTTGTGCTGTCGGCGCAGGGGACCGACCGCTGGGGCGGTCGGTGGAGATGTCATGTCAGGCACTGGTTCCAGACGGGCAAGCTCAGTTATTTGATTGCTGAAGATTACTATGAAATGAGGGAGAATTACAGGCCTGGCACTTGAATATTATTAATAACATAGTGTCATCTATTAATAATACAGTGTTGTATGCAGCACAACTGTCGAGTGTCCATCTGTCTGCCTGCAGTTCTAATCTGAAGTCACAGTTTGGAAACTGAACAACGCAGCAGTGAGACCGTGCCAGCCTTTAGCCCTAAGGTACTATTTCAAACTGGTCACGACTCAAAGCTCTGAGTGCTACTGCCTGATTGATATTTAGTTTGCAGGAGTGAAAAGCTTCAGTGTCATCCTCTGTGCTTGTAGAACGTGTCAGTGTCCGCATGGGCTCCTGAAGGACCTAGTGATCAAAGGCAGCTAGCTTTTGGTTGCTTAAGGCCTCGGACTCACAAGCCCTCACGTAAGCAGTTTAGTATGAGAGCTGATCGTCGGCTAAGCAGCTTGTAATTTTGCTGGCTCTTGCAGTAGAAGATAGAATTTTTCTTTTCTGCTGTATAGTTTCTGGGAGTACTGTGTTCACTTTGAATATGTCATAATTTCGGTTTGAGCTTGAATTGTTTTTTTCACTAAAATTTCAAGTGCCTGATTTAATGTCTTCTGAGATAATGTTTGGAGGTAGTCTTCTGTCTCTTTCCTTCCCTGTCATCCAAATAACACTACAAGAAAATAACCTGCTGCCTTTTAAAGAGGATAGAAGAAAGGTTTTGGTTAAGGTTCTTGTACTGTTGTACAAGTGTTTCATGAGATTCAAATAAAAGGAAACTTTTATGTTTGATATAAAAGGAATCAAATCCATTCATCGCAGAGCACAAGGCCCCTAACAGCCTGTAAGACCTTTTCAAATATGGAAAGGGGAGCTAGCCAGTGGAAAACAACTAGATGTTTGTTTTATGGGGGAACAAAAAGTCTGTAGAGATGTATGGGTCTGGTAGCTAGCTAGAGTTTCTTCATATGTAGAAGAGGATTTGGTTTTAAGATGGTTTCCTTTTTGTCCCTTTTCTATCAAAAAAGCGGGGTAGAGCTGTGCAAGCTAATGGCTTTACCGGGACATGACTAGTGTTAAATTTTTCATTTCATCTAAACCAATAAAGTAAGAGACAGGGACTCCTTCCCTGTAATTAATTACGTGAGGTTTGATTCTTCCGCCTTGACAGAGCCTTTTGCTAGATCCAGATCTTAGTGGCTTTCAGGAGAAAACTGTCCTGAAAGGGAGTTTTATTTTATTTCTTTCCTCATTTTCCCCAGTCCCTCTTTAGAAGGACTGGTAGCTCTACTCGCAAAGGGCATTTTACAGATTTATACTTAGTGGTTCTTTCTATTGTGAAATTTCTCATTTTTAGAGAAAAAGGACAGACATTATGAAATGTGCAAACTTCCACATGGGTTGGGAACGGGTTAATAACTGGTACCTAATCCTTCTCCTGTGACAGCCCTTTAAAGAAAAGCCAGAAAGGGAGATCTTGGGAAGCCTCTGCTTGCTTAAGAGAGAGATTTCATCTTTACTGAGGAGAAAGGAAACTTTTATCTGTAAGTGGGAAGGCCTGGCAAGAGTTGAGGTGAGATGGAGGGATTTGCATTATTGGTACATGTTTGATACCAGCAACTGGACAAGACTCTTGTCTGAGCCTAGAGGTGTAATAATTAATTGTTAGATGAAATAATTTGTAATACAGCATTTGAAGATGAAATGTCATAATTCCTTTAAAATATGCTGTATATATTTTTACTCCATGGGACAATCCAAACTTCGTTTCTTCCCACAGTTTCTTACACTTTCCTATCAGAACTAAAGGAGAACTAGATGCGTCCCAGCTTGCACGTCACTGTGGGCACATTATCTTGGATGAAGAAAACAAAGCCAGAGTTACAAAATGCCACACTTGCTAAGGAAGAGGATATTTTGGAGACTTCTAACATGGTCTTTTTACAGGGCTTCTTTAAGTGCCATGTGTTTCTAGGAGGTATATGATACATGAAATATTGTTCTACCTTCTGCTAGCTGAAGGGAGAAACAGTTGCTTTCTCTTCCTTAGCACCACCCATCTCTAGAGTACTTTGGCATGGGTGATGGGTGTCAGCTATTGTATCTCTTTACTGACCACGGTACCTAAATGCTGCCACTAAGCTTTCCAAATCTGTATCAGAATTAAAATAAGTTTTCTGTGCATAAATTTGCAAGTATCTGCTCTAATCTTGTCTAAATCTATTCCCTTTTCCTTCTCTGCTGCTCAGGAAACCTGTATGCAGTGCAGAAAGGGACTGGGTGTTTAAAAGCTATGTATAAGTTCATGTTAGTTCACATTTCAACACACGAAGTCAGTAAACACTTATGTATCTGAGTAGCTTTAATAATGAGTGCTTAAAGGATCAGAGCTGTCATATATTACTTCTGAAACCATAAGGTTTATGAATTATTACCTATATATAGGTTGTGTTCTCCAGAAACTAATCATCTAGATGCCCCTTTTGGCAAATGGTGTTTTAAGTTTTGCCAAATGCTGAAAGTTGATTTTGTTCAGGTTCTGTACACAAATATTAATCTTGTGCTTGTTACACAACAGGTAGCTTCATGGTTTTTAAGCCTTGGTCCTTCAAGCTGCTACAGCTAGAGCTTTGTGGCCGCGTTGGTGGCCATATATACATAGGGGCACAATGCTGAAATAATAGTTATTACTGCTGATTTATAGGAAGCAGGAATCGGGCATCATGAGGAATATCAAAATCAAAAACAGAAAATGCAGAAAACCTCATGGAACCAGAATTATTTTTTTTTCCCTTAAATGAGGTTGGAAGTGACTTCTTTTGCCATCAGAGTTTCCATTTATTTAGAAATTGAAGTTCTGTTCTATTTGCCCGATTAGTTATTTTATAGCACCTTATTCCTCTGGATCTTCTATCGGTCAGCCTTGTGGTGGTGTATGGAAGGTCATTCACAGGGGAAAAGTAATAAGCCCTAATGGGCTCAAATGAAATAGATGTGCTACAGGTTTTATCCTTTCTGCAGAATGTCTGGTTTTGAAATCAAGAGGAAGGCAAAATTATTGAGTGTTTAAGAAATAAACTCTCGGTTGGAGTACAAAACCTTTTATTTTGCCTACTGTGTTTCTAAACTGCTCCCTTTCTATTTTCCAGAGAAACCCTGAAGCTTTTGTAGTTTCTTCTGTCAAGAGTTTTATCCTACTGCTATCTTCAGGTTTCCATCTGGGGTTAAAATACCTCATGATAGAAGATTATTTTTCTTTTGGAAGCTTTATCTTACTGGACTATCCAAAGCAGCTGGTATGTTGTACATAAGTAAACTTTTCCATTAAAGCAGACCAATTCTGCAGAAATCTGGCAGTACTTTCTCTTAACTGTATCTTCCACAAACTGGACAGAAGGTGAAATAGATAGTTGTGCTTTGAGAAGGTTTGTGATGTACCTGTTAAATGCCTATATAAGGCTGTTAAACATTTGTTTAAGTGAAAATCACAGTTATGTGTTGTCATATGTGCAGCTGGCCAAATCTTACATTGCTTATTCCTATATGTGCAGTGGCTGTACTACCAAGCTGTTAAAAGGTTGCAGACTTTCACCTTGGGGCACCAAGATACAGAATCTCTTAGGCACTTTTAAGCACATTATTTATTTATACTTTTAGATATATATTGTAAAAATAAAGTTTAGG